TGAGGAAAATAGGAACAAAGAAATCTGATAGACCTTAGATATTATGAACGCCTTGAACCTTCACTATTCTCTACTAAATCAACCTATGGTCACAGGATAGTCAGATTCTACCACTTGTTATTCATTGAAACGCAGCAAATAACAGTGATAAAAAGCATTCCTATTTGCTTGACGGAATTCTATACCCAAATTAATCCTATCCACAAAATTAACCACTTAAACTTTTTTATTCCAGAATAGCAGGAAAGAACACAATCGAAGATTTCCAATTAAGCATATCTTTACACATGGGAAATAATGGAGACATTCCATTTCACTAATAACTCACTAAGGCAAAAATAAGAGACGATTTAATGAACAATTCAACGTTTCTAACCAAATCATAATCTGCCTTTCAAGTTTATTTTGGATTCGTCGCTTTACTAAACTCAACAAAACAAATCAACACGAGTTTATCGCAACTGTTAAACACCCTTCAACTTCCGTTCTCAAATGACAATTAAGTCATATTAAAACGGGTCGCAATAGAATCTACTCATGCATTTGACTGCAATCCGAATGGCATATTTTCGACGCACCTGAGTTAAGTGAGGTTTCCCACTTCGCACCCTGGAATAAAATTATTTAAAAAAACTAATTTAAAATAATCTACAAATCCATACCAATGAAATCGACTTTATTTTTCAAAAGAACCATTATGTCAGTTAAAGGTCGTTTAGATCCTCCATTCTGGATCTAAGTGACCTTCAATATGGAGCATTATATAGGCAACGACGAGTGTTTCATCAAAATAAAAAGTTAATAGAGTAGAAATTTTTCAAATGCTAATAGCCATTCTAAGTTATCCTACTGTGTATCCTGAAGTGCAGAAGGGTAAAATACACTTTCATAAACTTATACAACAGATAAGCGACTTACCAAGTTTCCAAATCGATGAGGGCAAAAAGACCAAGTATTTCCTTCCGGATCTAGTTAACAAGGATAAATTGAATACAGCAACTCAAGCCTACCTTGCCGAACACACTCACATAGAAGAGGAACCCTTTGTAAATCGGGCACTGTAGTATTTACGGGTATTTCTTGAACATCTACACCACTTGGTGAGAAGATTATACGAGCAGAATCAGTGTCTTGAAGGGACATCTCTCGCCTAAATTATGGAGTTAAATTTGGGGGAGAACTGAAGGCATACCAGGGTTGAGTAAGGGTCACATTGAGGAAACATTTAAGAGAATTGGCACTTTGGACAAGTGCCAATTGAGATGGAGAGAAGTATGTGGTCGGAAGGACTAAAATATCATTCTTAGTGGTGTTGAGTATGACGTGTTCAGAGGAGGTCAAATGTGAGGAGGGAAGAACAACCGATTTTATTGTGAAAATCTGAGACTCATGTTGAGAATTCGTGCCTGCAAGAGGACAAAACATAGGTGATTCAAATGAACACCTAAAAATAAGTCTAGAGTAAAATATGAGTACAAATATTAATTGTTGAGGTCAAATTGCTCGACTGAGTTTAATTATGTCAAGAGTAAGTACAACATGAATACATTCAATTCCTACTTGCCAAAAAATAATAATTCTAATTTCCCTAAAATTTGGTTTTGATCAATTATAGATTAATTGAAGGTCACAATTAGCTTATCTACCTTAAGGTATATTAAATAAATAATTTAATCGTCCTATGCAATCCTTTTGCACTCTGATATTTAGACATTCCAGCTTCAAACTGGAAGAATAAATTGGCACTGTTATACGCATCTATAAACCACATTAAGGAAACTGATATAATTTGAATTATCTCGAAGGTGAATTAAAGTAGTACGATACTAGTAGTAAAAGATTAGCCATGACGAATTGAAAAGTACAAAGGAATTCATTTAAAACTGTGGCGTATTTAATTATAGAATAGAAACACATCGAAGTGAATTGAAGGTACTGTCCTGGTTTATGCATTAAGCAGGAACTAAACAAGCTTCACGTGCGTTTGTACTTCAGTTTTCAATCGGTGACAATTCATTATATATTTATTGCCTATGAGGCTAATACAAATAGTAATAAACCATCGTGAATGGATGAATAAAAAAATTCACATGATCAAGGCAAACGCTCTATGAAGGACTACAGTAAGAAAAGATGTGACTTAGAGAGTAAAAGTTGGTTGACCAGTTGTAAATGTGATCGCCTCTGTTAAGTCAGTAAGTCGAAGGCCATCGGCCCACACCCAGTGAATGGAGTGACCAAATATTCTGGTGAAGTTGAACTAATAAATGGGGGTAACAGAAATTGAGTTCACCATTGGAGAGCTCATTTTACCACCTCTCTAACAAAGATGGGTATTGTTAAATGCACTTATAAAAGGGCGGTTTAAGAATAGCATAAAACACACAAATGCATTTAATTAAATAACATAGCTAAATTTTAATTATGGGATCGAATAGAATGAATCAGAAGATTAGAATATATAGAAACAGACGAAGTAGGCCCGCCCAAATAAGAAAGGTTGAATAACATATGCGAGTGAATTGAAGAATGGGAAGAAAGAAAGCTATTTGGTCTATATGAATTTAAATCCATTACGAAGAATGAGATATTATTATAAGTATAAACTTAAATTATGTATCAGAAATGAGATATCAGTGCGATATATGGCTGCATCTTTCCTTCAACTTCAAACTACGTCTACACTGAGGTTGGTAATTTAGCAAATTCTCCATTAACCCTTGTTACCTGTGTTTCTAAAGAAATATATAGTTTTAAACGAGATTAATAGCAATTGCCTACTCAAGAAGTATTTTGTACACAAAGTTCGCTACAGTTTAGGTATTAATAAATGTTAAACCATTAAAGGAATATTTTGCGAATGGAACACCTCTAGCATAGTGAACAACGATATCAACCATAAGCTATGGGTACATTTACTGTTAACACTCTTTGAAATCGTTTCACAACAGGCAAAGAATATAAGTGAAATTGAATGACCTCCAATATGTTAGAAAAACTTTTTTTATAATTCATTCATATACTAACAGTTTGAAGATAGCTATAAATAAATCAACAAGAAATGCGACACTCCAAGTAATAAAATAAGCTGGTCAACAAGCTTTGACTATCAACCATAAACCCAGCCAACGAGATATGAAAACCGAGATCTGGGATATTTTGATGTAATACCCAATTCACAGAAAGAAGGTAACTCAATGAACCAAGTAGAACCCTCGACATCCTAACCTTATTGCATGTTCTTCTTTCTTAAAAATGATTACCTCTAACTTTTAATTGAGGTCGAATGGAAAACTAAGAAATCATACTATAAGCATTAAATAAATATTGCCCAAACCCATAAAGAAGCAAGTTTTAGTATCTGGAGGGAACATAGTGAAATAAATATAAGCGCGGGCGCAGATAAATTACAAATTAAATTTTAAGAAAATAGCTCAAAGTACGGCAAATTGACAATTGCTTTACACTTATACAGAATAATCATTTAAAATAACCCCCTATGTTATGATGACGATACAATGTTAACGAACAGTAGAGAATTTGGAATACGAGCTATGTAATAAAACAGCAGTAAAGATAGATAAACAGGCATTCAAAGCGGCGATATTAAAAAAAACAAATAATAAAAGCTTGCCAATTTTTTTAGGCCGCATGTGACGTCCAACAACTTTTTCCGATTCAAGGCGTCTCAATAGAGTAGCCAATCGTGAAGAAATACGAGATCTTGAAAAATATGCACATAAACAACAAATACTTACCTTAGTTCCTTCTTAGAAGGTAGCTCAAGAAGGTTCATAACCTGCGGATCCAATTCGGACTCCGCAATAAATGATTCCACTGGTAGATTGTTTAACTCTTTATTTAATTTAGAAGATAACATATGGTTGGGCTCTACAACCTCTACATCGCTATCTTCGCTAACTACAACAAGAGAAGCATTCTCCACTTCTTTTGCCATTTCATCATCAATAATATCTATAAGCTGGTCATCAGAGGCGGGATTTTCTAGTGTATCACCGTTATTTACGCGATTATCAACGTAAACGTCAGAGCAGTTCAATTCGTCAGTTGATATATCAAGTACTTTATCCAGCGCAGGTTCGTCGTCTGACTGGAAAATAAAAGAAAAATAAAACACCTACGCTGTCTTCGATCAATACAATAGAATCCTCAATCGTGCGAAAGTGGGGAATTTTAGGACTAGAATGAGAAGAGCGTCTTGGTCTAAGGCCAAATCTCCGAGACCGATTTGACCTAGTAATTCGAAAGTTTGTAGATGAAAACCAATCAATTGACTCTACATTGCTGACACTAAATTTTAAAAAGATAGCTTACGCCACATATTAACAAACTCACCGTCTTCTTTTAATAGGATTGTCTTTGTTAATTAAATATGACCACTGCGGCGGACTAGGCATTTTATTATTTAATGCCTTTTAAGAAGGATCACAGTAAAAGTTGAAACCAGAGTGGGATGCAGGCTCAGGAGGGACGACCGACAAAACCAAAATAGGCTAAGCTGGACGTTACATTGAACATTTGTGAAAGTAGCCAATCACACGCTGCAAACAATAAGATGAACCAATGACAGTGCAGAATACGAAAAAGAATACATAAAGATGAATAAAGCAAATATGGATGTAATCAGGCCATTTACGGAGCTGTCGTTCAGGACGTTGACAACACTTTTTCATTTATTCTTATTCTCATGCCAAGATCTTTCACTGAATTCACTTTCATCCGCTCATCCAATTTTATACATTATATATAATCAAAAACTCTTTGACCCAATACGTTTTACAATCGATTAATATGGCAGCAGAATAGAAAGGAAGCAAAAGGTATCGTAAATGCCATTCAATAGAAACCAAGGATACTTTTAAAAGTTTCCAAATATCGCGGAAATGATTTTGTTAGGAAATGTATACTAAGTCAACATAATTAGAATTGCCAAAATAAGTAAAATTGCTAACCATCTTTTATAATAGATTATGAAAGGTCAAAAATATAATTAAAAAATACAGTCAACATACTTCTCACATGTTAAAAGAGTAGGAAAGCCTCTACTTGTAAACGTATTATATTGAAGGTTTATTTCGAATGCAACTATGCAAAATAAAAAGCATATTGACAAAATGGAAATCCCAATTATCGCATTTATGAAATTATCGAAAAACTAAAAGTATGATGTCTGCTTATCGAAAATTTTTGGACTTTTGCAGGCTTCCTGTTTATCCTTTTTTAATGTTTCGCATTAACAATTCAAATCTGAATTTTAAAAGCTTATCGCTGGACTAAAATAATATAGGCCCTAAAATTAACATTATATAAAAATTTTAGGAAATTTTTAGGGTCTTGGATGCTTTATACTTGTTGTTATCTTAGGCCAATGTTAATTTGACCTTCAAATAATCTGCAATCATTTTTATTGGCTGCCTAAAGTTTATTTTAAGCATATTATCTTTCCTGCCTTTAGTTCGTATCGTATTGTAGCTTGTTTTGGGCCCGATTATAGTGCAAAGTCGGTATGTTTTTTTGTCGGAAATTCCGCTTGTCTAAATTTAATTTTAAACTTTCAGTACCATTTCGTGCATCCTGATATTTTCCCGCCTTTTTGGAAATCGTTGACTCAAATTCTTTGTTCACTATGCTCGTTTTTGGGTACAAATAATATCGATTTATCAACGTATCTCTATAGTAATTTTTACTTAAACCGAAAGGTTAATTTTATTGTTTTCTTGTAGCATAGCAATTCTAATTCATGCATTGATAGCTTAAAACCTTAATCTGTGTTACATCTCGTATGCTAAGTTTACTTTTTATGTTGCTGTATTTTTCCATACATTATAGATGTTCTCTCTGATTTTATTGAACATCTGCGTTTTCAAGAATCCCTTTCCCGATTTGAATTACCAATCATTAACTTTTTAACTTTTCTTTTGGACTTCATCTTTGTAATTTCTATCACTTTTATTTGTTGACCATTCGTATAGTATCGACTAGCAATGTCAGTTTTCCTTTTCTAAGCTATTATTTTCTTCAATATGGAGCAAATTTTGAAGGAAATAATTTGGTGATCCATTAACTTAATCGTGAAAGATATGATTAAAAGCGTTATTCAAAGTAAAGTGTACTCTGCTTTGGCGTAATTATCCTCCATTGTCTGAGCGAGAAATAGTCTTCTTTTGTTAATTATATTTCAATATCTCATTTTATTTTTAGTCAATTTGTCATTTTTTTATCTTAGGACCTTATTAGATTGAACTAAGTAGTCTTTAGCGTATTTTGCCGATTCATAATGAATATATTTGAAGGTTTATATTCCTTGGGTTCTGAATACCAATTTAAAATGTCTTAAATAGCTCGTATTTCATTTGATCGTATCTTATTGCGTTGATGAGATTTCTAAAAATTGAAATTAGTAAGGCGTATTTTCTCTCTGGCGTAACTTCAAATAGAAACTTTACACATTTGTGTATTCCGTCACGTAGATATACGTGTTTTCTATAAAATAGTCAGTTTCATCCGTTAATTACTTTGTTTACGTCTTTTTCTATTGTCTGCGCTTTAGTTGACAATTTTAAGTCATCTATGACATGCTTTGTTATTTCTTTGCATTTTGTTGCTAATGCGCCTTTGCCAATGCCTCCTTTAATAGCTTCTCCTATTATTCTGCTTAAAAACGTTATCATATCAGAAATGACCATGGGTATATGCGAATTAGGAATTTTCATTTTAACAATTTTATATATTCTTCCATATTTGACTGCTGATGTGCTTATCTAAATGCTTTAAACATGTATAAACGATATAATTCAGTGGGTTTTTTGCATTATGCTTCCCCTTTTGGTGTTATAATTCCAAATACAACTTCCATTCGCAACTATGACCTCAAGGCATCGACATTGTAACGTATCGGGGACTATGGACTAAAGACCCAGATAGCATGCGTATTGGTTTGATCACGTCTTGTTATAGGGTCAAGTTGTAATTGTTGTTCGGGTGGGGGGGGGGGGGGGGGGGCGGACACAAATTTCAAGCCGAGGTTTACCTTGCATACCACTGACGGGGAATCGTTAATTGAACACGAATACTGTTTGTACCCTTCATGCTCTTTTTCAAGTTAGGTATGTTTGCTTTAGTCGACTCTTACTGAATTGTAGATGTAACTTTAACTGAGACTTGTGTATTCATGCTTTATCTTCTCTCACAATGAAACTTCTAAGACCTCAAAGTGTTCTACAAAAATTCTAGGTAACATTCACCTTATGTGAAATCATTAATGTCAAATCCTAGCATTGTCATTTCGAGGTCCTTAAATTGCTGCTTAATGGTTGATTTTAATCTTGGCCTTTGTGTCGTAGTGCTCTTCGCTTGTCTTTATAGATTTAGATATAATAAATAGTCAGTTACACTTAATAATGACCCCCATGTTATCAACGAATGTAGCTCTCTCAGGGCTACAGAGACTACCTCTTTGCATTTAGCTACGGCTGCCATCGTGCCACCCGTCCATTCGCTCTCCTTTGTGTTTATGTGCGTGTGCGTCTGTCTCGCCATTTATTATCTCATCCGTGTGCGACAGTGGGTTGTGTGAATGTCTGCGTGTAGCGTAGCTCTCCGGTACTTTGCTTCTCCTCCACCGTCCTGTATTTATGTACACACAAAGTGGGCGCGCGGCGTTATATTGTCGTCCTTCTCTTTCCCTCTAGTTTTTTATACCCCGATTCCTCTATGTAGTCTCGCCAACTAGTCAGCCGTTTGATAATTAATGACCCCTTCTCTTTAAATGTCTTCAGCGTCCCGGCTAACTACTTGTATGTAGAGATGATTACTTACAGTCCAAATGACGGAGTAGAATACTACCGATTTAAGGGGAACTAGTAATTGGTTGTCATCATTTTCCATTTACGCACGCACTCTGCTTTAATCGATCGATATCTTTACGCGCTAGACACTGATATATCACTTTAGAGAGAATATAAGTCTGTTGAAACACTTGTAAATTGTATTACAGCTTTTTTAGCTAAACGTTAATTTTTATGCTTCATCATTATATTGTTGGTGGGTGTTTAAATATAGTATCAGTCCGTTTATCAATTGGTGTGGGAATCTGACGTCCTTTCCTTCACAAATTCATTCGTTGGCAAGCCAACATGGATTAGAAATGGTTAACAGTTTTGTGATAGGAACTAAAGTATTTTGAGTTTACTTAAGCGATCGACGGGGTGTATGTAAAGTAACTCCTTGCTACGGTATTCAAGTACCCAAATACTCATGAATGGGAAAAATTATAGGTACAACATAAGGCGTGTCCAATGACTCAGCAGTTAATTTGCTCGTCTGCGAAGTTAGATGATCATCAGTGGACATCAAGTGAGCTAAATAACTAACTGCGCCGGCTACATCTGGTTAATAAATTGGCGTTTATCATCAGGATGATTTCGTGCCGAAAAGCTCTTCCAAACGGACTTGGGAATGATTTGAAAGTTTACAAGCCAGTCGTTCGAGCATATAGGTAATAATAATTCACCACAGAAGTATGTGCCTATATCTATGCAAAGATCGTCCGCTACTCTCAAATACCCTTGCATAGTCTCACTGAGGGTCGCGTTTTTGTATCAGGTCCCTATAAAATCTATACCAAATTTGATCTTCGTTGATGGAATAGTTTCTAGAAATCATGTATTCCTTGTTTTTTTCCTACTGAATTTGTTCATTCCGTTTACTGAGTGTGTACCGATTAGTATCAAACCCTTGCGCTCTAGCTTTGTAACCGCATGCTTTGACAGCTTTTCCTCGATGCACAACATTTGCGGATTTAGCTCATTGCGGTAAGCCCTAGCAGCAGTTGATTTGTGTACATATGGAAGATATCTTTGTGCTACTTTTATGTGAAATTGTCCTTTTGCTACTCTTCTCTTTTTGATCATAATCATATAGCGCTATTGGCCAACCACATCAATAGATGTTCATCTATCTTGTGACCTTTGACTAAACACCGATTCTATACATGGAAGAGTTTTAGTTATGAATCAGGCACCTAGTAAGAGCTCTATGCCTTTTTTTCAAATGTGAATAATGTGCGGTTTTAGAAGTTGCGTGTTGTTTTTTTTATTCTTCAATTATCCAGTTCTGTTCCTTCAATTAATGCTCAAATTAGCTAATTAACATACGAGGGAGACGACCTTGTATATGCGTGGTATACTTTGCAAGATGATTCGTTTAGACCGGAGGATACAGTTTTTTAAGACTTCAACGCATCTGTTGAAGGTAGTGACCTTATTTATTGTTAAATTCTTCTTAATAATCTCTCTCCGTGTCTGAATCTGAAGCTCAAACTATTCTATCACATTAAAATACCAATGGAGTTGTAAACGTATAGGAAAAGTGTTGTACACTTTTGTATTTAACTGGACTATTTGCGTGGGAATGCTGCTTATTTTCCGTGCTAGTTGGCGACCCATTGTCTTGTAAAAGGCACAGAATCGTTCTTTCCCTCCGTACAGATAGCAATATTAGCTGTAATTGTATTAGACGACTCATTAAATGACGAGTTTCGATCTTGGGTGCATAATTGAGAGATGTAGGTGTTTAAGCAAGTTGCATTCTGATAATTAATGACCTTTGTCTCATCCTTAAGTCAGATATGGTTCAAACCGATCTGGCCAAGCTGAAAAGTCGGCATAAAGAAATAGTTGTTGAATTTTTCCCATCGAAAATCCATCAAAATTGAGTTGATAACTTTCTTTAAAGTTAATGCTTCCTGTAAGAATGGCGATTTATATCTATTCACATCCGGGAGACCGGCTTCCTTTTAGAGGGCAGATGTATTAAAGGTCAATGTGATTTTTATTTATTTCAAATGGTAAAATTTAATTTCCGTTAGCTTTAATTCGATGAGGTAAAATTAGCTTCAAAAAATGAAGCTTTATTTATATTACTGTTTTCATTAATCTCGAATATACGTTTGTGTGCAATTACCCAGGCTTTTTAATTTGGTATGGTACAATTAAATATTCCCATCACCCGCACACATACTTAATCTAAATCTGGGAAATTTATTAATAAATATTTAAATCAAAATTGTTATGTTTTAGTCTTGGTTTAATGATTCCATAACTTTTTTGCTTAGAGAGGGGTTAGGATCTAACTACTAGTTATTTAACATTTTCAGTAGGCGACTAATTAGGACTCCCTGAGTGAAATCAAGATATATAGGAAATACTTAGAACATTGAAGTGGATGTGAAGTTATGCTCATTGTTGTCCTTAAACTTTTTACGCGGTGGCGTTGGTGGTGGGTGCAAGCAGCATAGACAAGGTATTGACCCCTGTGTCTGCTTACTTTTGTCTCACCCACCCATGGCTCGATCGTGCCTCCCTCTCCCCACTGTAGCGATGACTTAGCTTCTGTGTGTGTGTGTATGTATATGTTTATGTCTGCTTGCTACCAGCACCACATCGCACTCGTCTATATAATGCGCGCACCTTTTGTCCCAGCCAATTATTTTTGTGCGTTCGCGCGTCATGTGCGTCTCGCTCTTTCTTAATCCCCCCCCCTTATTTGCGTGTGCCGGTCGGTGCAGCGACGTTGTCGTTGTAGTCGTTTCATAAACTATCAACCACAGCAGGCAAACAGACGTTCCCTACCGCTCAGTCTTTATGGCAAATATTACCACAGTTATCTTTTATTTCAGGCAATGAACCCTTCTCCTCATATTTAAGCCTTCATGATGAAATCAAATATGACTAACAAGAGTACTGGTGAGGTAGAAGAGGACTACCCTACAAATTCCTCCTTCCCTGCTGCCATCGCTATGGAAACTGAGCTACCCCTCGAAGCTGGATGTGGCTCCTTTGTGTGTTTCACTCCGATGGGTAGAGCAAATAACGCTCGCTCAATAGTCTATAATCTCCCGGACTTTTTCACTGACTCTATGCGGGTGATGTACTCCCTTTTTCAAGCAGGAAAACTCACAGACGTCACACTGCACGTTGACAAGGTGGCCATCACGTGTCATCGGATTGTCCTCATGGGCGCTTCTCCTTATTTTCGAGCTATGTTCACTTCGGGAATGCAAGAAGAAAGTCTCAATGAAGTTCGACTACATTACCTCACACCCCTTGCATTAACCCGTCTTGTACATTTTGCATACACTGGGGAGATTTGCGTCAATGAATCTACTGTTTGTGAGATCCTCTCTGCGGCTATTATGCTCCAGATTAGCTCTGTGATAAATGTCTGCACTCAGTTTCTTGAATCCCAACTCCACGTCTCTAACGCTCTGGGCCTTCATGAATTTGCAACATCGGTTGGATGTTTGGACCTCGCAAGAAAGACCCAGGCTTTTGTCGATAGAAATTTCTCTGAGATTGTGAAGCATGATGAACTATTGAGTCTCTCTCCAACTCAATTGATGAACCTCATTCAACGGGATGAAATCCACGTGAGATCGGAAGCGGAGGTCTATAATGCTGTGGTGCGATGGGTCAATCATGACAAATCTTCTAGACTTGTCAGTCTAATGGATTGTCTCGCTCTGGTACGGTGTCATGCACTGGCTCCTGGCTTCATTAAGAATCAAATCAAGAATTGCAGCCTTCTCTCAGAGGTTCCTCAATCCAAAGAACTCATGCACAGTGTACTGGAGGATCTACTTCAACACAAAAATATTCCATTGCGATGGAGGGCTGATGCTCATGCTCAAGTAAGTCTCAATATCAATTTAATTGGCTATAAGCCATATTGTCTCATATTTATTTATTTTGCTAAATTTGTGTTTAACTTTCCTTCTGTCCCCTCTTCTTACGCTTTGTTCAAATTAGTGCTGGAACTTCCTAAACACAGTGCATACCAATACCACTAGTACGTGGTCAGAAAACAGCAATAATTTAGCCCCGTACTGACTGTTGTCTGCAGAAATTGACATTGATTAGCGCCGTCTCAATCCACCCTGCTATCTCCCACCCTCACCCCACAATGTCTAGGTGACGGTTAATTTCACAAGGACTAATTAGTGCCTCGAAGGCTGCTAACTACATGACGCTAAATACACGATCTCGGCTTATCTTATCCTTAATATGCACTAATGCATTTAGCCGGAGTTTTTAAGTTTATTCGGAGTTACAGAGTAATGTGTAATTGACCAATTATTTTTCGATAGTAAACTATTAATACTGTCTTTCCTTAACTCTAATTTTTCTCTGTTTCTTCTCTGATACATGATTTTTGTTTGAATTAATCTACGTGATATGTGCTATAATCTATTCTATTGTAATTTATTTGAATACCCATCCAAACTCCGTTAAATTGGGAACATCTTGTAACGTTAAACTTTGTAATGATTGGACAATATATGCCTTACAGCATCAACTTCGACACATATAATGGTATAAACATTTAGGAATACTTCCTGATGGAAAACTCGAATTGTTACTCTTGTTAGCCAGACATAGCCATTGAAATCGTGAGTCCTGCCTACTGAATGTACACCAATGGTCATCGAGCCCATGATCTCTAACCTCATGGGCTAGTTGTGCGCATGATCATTTGTAGTATTAAATATCGCATCCAAATACGTATATCCTTGTTAAAATAAAGCTTTTAATAAAATCGAATGTACTAATTCGAAAAAGGCGTCTCCAGACTAACGAGACGTGTCTCTGCTCTGTATGTCTAGAGTATATATCTACGGCCACGTTTATATTCCCTGTCGCCTATACCCTGTTGAGGCTGCTAATGTGTATGCGTATGTCTGCCTGCTAAAGGCTTTCATTAGGTTACAACATTAATGTCCTGTCCCACACATGCTTGGATACACTCTTATTTATAATTCTTCCTCAGTGCTTATTATGCAGTATTTCAGCTCTCTAGCAGGGCCCCCTTCTCTCCTTCCGTAATTAATTCGCATTATTAACACAGTCATTATCGTTGGTGGTAATAGAAGGTGATGTCTCGCTAGTTGATTTGCATGTTCTTTTCTCTTGTTCTTCGTACTCTCCGGCTTCTTTTATTTTTGTCCCTTTTGTTCTGCTTTTAATTTGCATACACCACCTGGCCATCTGGTTCAATAATCGCTTTCCCTATATCTCTCGCCCTTCCTCCTTTTATGATGGCTAATGGACTTTAGCCTATATGATCTCATGTCTGGGGTAATAAATACTTGCACTTTATATGTGTGCGTGAGTATCTATCTCTCCATTGATGGATTATGGTTGCTAGTCCTTTTTCAATATGAAAGAATCACAATTTGTTGCAGCCAATTTTGGGCATCTTCAATTTCCAATTACATTGCAATCATAAATGGTAAATTGAATTATGGAATGCTAATGTTGTTGTCCTTGTTTATGTCCCTAGCGGTTAATACGCGGTCTTTAGAGTCGAGCTCGCGAGTATAAGGCATTTGGAATCACGTCTTTTCCACAGCATATCGATATACTTTGTGTGCATTATAATTGGAGGGAGACATTTAACGCCAGAAAACTAGGAGAAATGTAGATTTTATTACCCCGAATCAACGTGTCTAGACTTCCAATGTTGAATCTCACGCATAGCGTTCGATAATATTACGTCTTTGAAATCACTTTAGCAGACATGGCACATGCAAAGAGTTAGACTAGGTTTCGGGACATGACTATCAGTTGTTTGGCTTCTAAAAATTGCATTGTTTTAATGTGTCTTGTTTTTTTACCTCAAATTGATTTACTGGTTTATTGTGCAGCATTTAAATTGCTATGTGCAAGCCTATAATGCAGCATAGGCGTCGTCGCATCGAAAAAACACCAATTTCTATGCTGATTAATTACTTAGAAGTCAGACGGGCGTAGCCAGATCGGATCGTCTACAACTCGTGCTTGCTAGCACACATGAAGTCAGTCCTTTTCTTAATATGTTTACTGTCTGCCTGTCTGTTAGCTCACGAGTTTCCCTGCTATTGTATATAGATATAAAAGGCCTCACTTGAGTCCAAGTCTAGTCGGTGGGGTGTGGCAAACATGCACCATATTTCCATCTTTTTCATTTGCTTGTGCCCTTTTTCCTTTTTTGTCTCTCTGTTTACTAACCAGTTATTTCACTTGCCACGATAACTACATGATTAGCAGTAGCTCCACTTGCGTTGAGTGCGATATCATAGGTTCTTGGTTGGTTAAGAGGGCAAAATGTCACCACCAACGAAAGGCTTTTTTTCGCTCATAATTTTTCTTTCTTCTTGACTATGCAAGTAAATGATTTCGAGCTGTAAATATATATATATATTTCTGCTCATTTGAATGCAATTATGCCTATTGTACTCTTCATATAAACTATGTTTTCAGATCACTCATTTAAGCACTGTTGTTAAGCAAAGATGTAATTTGTAATAATAGGTCCATCTTTCGTTTGTCCTCGCACTTCTAGAGCTAAGTTTAGTGGAATAATTGGATGTCCCCACCCCCTCCATAGTAGATGCTGTTAATCAGAGGATAGTTTTTGCAGGAACTCATCTCAAACATCATCTCTTCAAAATAATTGCTATTGTTCATCAAAACACTTAAATTTGGACACTTGTTTAATTTGGAACCGATATCCTAATCTTTGTTTGTAGTGTGCACGCGCTTTAAGACTTGATAGTTTTGTTATTCCCACTTTTCAGTGTTTCAACTGTCACTGCATCCAGCCAGCTAGGCATGCTCTAGAAATCACTGAAAACATATGACAACTTAGGTCTTTTTTATAGTCAAGCCTCCTCCATTTCGTGTTCCAGACAGTCTTTTTTTCAAGCTCTCGCCCTCTCTCTCTTTGTTGTTTATGTATGTCTCAAGTACAACGCGATTTTTTTCCCTCTGGCTCATCAAACGAGACTCGGTTATTGGTCGCTACCTTTAGTTTGTGTGTGTGGCGGTATCTCCCTGCCTATTTGTTCGCCTTGTTTTTTTCCTCCATTCCCTCTTACGCACTTCCTGTGTGTCTACTTATCTCCCTCTCTTATTTTTTTATCTCTACTGTCTCAAAATTGCTGTCTACTCTCCTTAGTCTTTGTTCGAGTGAACTATTCACATATTTTTGGAAAGTTTGTCATTTTAGTATTTGATTATTTGGAGTAAGTACACCTGAAGGAAAGCTGAGACATGATTTATGATATTACCCTCTACCATACTGGTTCAATCAAGCTCAATTTAAACTATCACTTAGAAATATAAGCTTGAGAATACTAAGGGGAGTTCATTATAAAGAAGATATCTTAAGTTCAAGTGGAAAGTTCCTTTTAAAGTGTACCCTATTGGTAACTACGCGCAAGCATTTTCAGAATCCTCCCTCACTCATGCTTTGTTTATTTTGGCATTCAGTTGACTGTTTTTTCTCCTTTCTCTTATTCCTATTAGTTTCTGTCTTTCCCTCTTCTGACTCACGTATTTCCTTGCTTACTTCGCCTAGAAGTTGTTTATTCCAAAATTTGTTTATTCATAAATCCATTGGAGGAAAGTCTGGACCTAAATAGTCAAAGTCTTGTTTGTATCTCAACCCCTTCTACGTTGTTTGTATGTGCTTTCCTAGTCGTCTTTGTGTATACACACACTGTCACAAATCAATTCCCAATAGACTGATTTTACCGCTGGCTTTTGCTCTTCCTGTCTAGCTGTTCTTCTCTTGTCGTATTTGATTGCTGCAATAACGACATTCCAGCCATGGAAGTAATGAAGCAATGTTTGAATCCAGTCTATGCCTTTCCACCTCTTTTGTCTAAAATGTCAAGCTTTTAATGTAGCCTAGTCTCCTCCGGCATAATGTTTTGGCTGTTTTGGTAAAAAAAAAGAAAAATAGGTGTTGGTTTCTTTCTGTTTTTATCAACTGTTAGGGGATAATGGAAAGTGCGCATTTGCCATTATCTGAAAGAAGATAAAAACACCTGGAATGTTGAAGAAACCTCCCTACTTGGCCTCTTTTTCTCTAACTCATTACTTCTTTTCACCCTAATTTATTAGTTTGGTTAGGTTGATGTGTTTTTGCTGTGTGTAACTTAAGTAGGAAATATAAGTCGATATTAGGTGTTATTTAATAATATACTTGGACATATAATGAGGAACTTTTTGTATGCTTATCAATTGGCGAATGTATTTACTTTCTTAGCAGTTTGTTCGAGGGTATTGACTCCAAGTTCAAACGACGCATATACGCTTTTTCCCTTTTTATTGGATGGTCATGTATACTATACCATGGATATCTCCCATTTCTAGGTCGAATATAAGTAGACAGCTGGATGTAATCCAGATCACAGTAGTTAATACTTCGCTCTTGCTTCTGAGTATGGTGTCTATAACAGTTGCATACGACTTTATTTGTTAATAACTTTGGGACAGTCTTTTCACTCCTGCATATATAAATGCCTGGCTGATTTCTTGGTCCAATCTCGCATTTACTGCACTCTCCATCTGTTTTGGTTCCCTCCCCCCCCCCTTTCACTGCGACTACTAGCATTGCTCTTCTCAGTTCTCCGCTTCTGTTTATTTGGCGGTTAGAAGTAGGCAAATAAACGACTTCTTTCCACCTCCCTCCCGACCCCCCCCCCCCCCAAATATTCCTATAATTGCCTGAAATATCTACCGTTTTGTTGTGCCTTACTGGGATTGCTAAATTTCCTGGATAAGCAGGGGGAAGATAATGAGATAATAAGATAAATAACTCAAGTTTATCTTATCTGTCTATTCTCAGTGTCTTTCCGTAGTTAAATGTTGCCTTTAAAGGCTTGAATTCGCATTGTCACCTATCACCACCTTTTCCTTGGAGAATTTAAAATATCCTTGGAGCTCCTCCTTCTCTTGACTGAAGATAAATGTGACCCATTAGGTGAAGGAAAAGGTGATATTGTGCAATGCAGTGCCTTTCCATTACCTCCACGACCCCCCTTGTGGTGATCGAAAAAAATCGTTTCCCTTCTTTGGGAAAAGTTCTTTTTCACATTGTACATGCGTGTGACAACCTTTGGAGTCTTGCACGTTTCTCCATGTATTCTTACAATCAACTGTTTTCTCTAGTGAATTCTGTTCCATTTAATCATAAAAGCTGCATAACAATCTCGCGACGTATTATTTTTGGTTTAAACTGTCTTTTGTTTATCAAAATATGACGTTTTGCACAATCATTTAAAATTAAACAAATTGCAAAAGTTTACTTCCTTCTCTTATCTCTTTCACTTATCATACAACTATCTTAGGTACCTCCTCAAATTTACTCCGCTTTTAAAATGCATACGAATGTTTATTTATTTCCCTGTGAGGTGCAAAGAATGCATTTTTCAATTTAAAATCATCCCGTCGTGTTTCCCGGAGTAAATTTGTTAGTTTATCTGCTGTTTTTAACTTGGATTGATTGAGTCTGGTTTTTTTTCTCTGAGAGAGGGAATACGAGTGTGTCTGGTTCATTTTTCATTTTTCTCTCTAGGCAAGCAAGCAACCATTTCTCTACCCCTTCTGCTCTTTATACCATCGTGGTAAACTGGCCGCACTATATGCGTGCATGTTTTTGTTAGCGTGGAAAAAAAACCCTGTAGGCAAATTAAGTCAGATAGTCTCTCCCTAAATCAATAGCTTGCATTCTTTCTCTCTATTCCTTTATGTCCAATTAATTCATCCTCACTCTTACGTTATTCTAGATGATCTACTCAGCTGGTGGTTATCTCCGCTACTCTCTGAGCAACTTTGAAGCCTACAATCGAATCACGGACACATGGAAACGTCTTCCGGATTTACCGAGTCCTCGTAGTGGCTTAGCTGCAGCATCCGTACGTGGGTGTGTCTATCTAGTTGGTGGGAGGAATAATAATAATGAACAGAGCAACTTTGATGCCCCCCATATGGACTGCTACGATCCGACGACAAATCGATGGCACACATGTGCCCCAATGTCTGTGCCTAGAAACCGCGTTGCTGTAGGGGTCCTAGACGACATGATCTATGCTGTTGGCGGCCTCACTCACACCATGCATCATAGTACCGCTGAAAGGTAAGTGTTTTTCTTCTCTGCCGCCTTTGTGTTTTATGTGCTAAGGTGAATCATAAGAAACGTTAAAAGCCCTCTCACTCCCTGTCTGGGCATGACATCAGATAAATCGAGTCACTGCTGCTGCTGCTGATGCTGCTGCTGATGCTGCTGCTGGTGGTGGTGCATTAGTAGGCTCGGCTGCACTGCTCGGTTTATGATTGTGTGTGCGCGTGTGCGTGTGTGTGCGTCTGGTTTTTTGTATCCTCCTGCTAACACTTTGATCGCCTTATTTTTTAGATACGACGTAGATGACGACTTATGGACTCCAATTGCTTCAATGCATTATCCTCGGATTGGTCTCGGTGTTGCTGTTGTAAATAGGTGCGTCGGTTTTTTTGCATTCATTTATTAATTTTGTGCGATTTTTTCTCTTGCCTTTTTTGTTTCTGCCATTTTAATAAAAAAGTATGTAAGCGCAAGTTTAAGCTAAACAGTAGGACGCCCATAAGTAAGTCTCCGCGTGACCTGTAACCGGGGGACTTTCAATTTTAGCAAGAAGGGAAAAATGGCAGGATTATTTTCCGCATTTCCAATTTCTAATTGTTTTATTTTGGCTTATCGAAACTCCCTCCCTGATAACAGAGTAGCAGAATTCGAACTTCTCAATGTGGGTGCCCTATTCCCCTGCTCTTCCCTAATTGAGAATGGTTAGAAAACTTCTCTGGAATGTGTTTGGAAGTCATACTGTTCTAATAACCTAGTAATTACTGATCTTTGCATTATATGCTTGTAGCAATCATTTGAAGACATTTCCTTTATTTTGAGAATTCCCCTGAGTATTTCTGTCTCTTTTCAGACTTCTCTACGCCGTCGGTGGTTTTGATGGAGTTCGACGTCTCTCTAGTGTTGAACGCTATGATCCGGAGACTGACACTTGGTCTGAGGTCGCGCCCCTCAACCGTCCTCGATCTGGAGCCGGTAAGTAGTTCGCTGAAGTCGTATTTAAGTAGCACTTAAAGGGGCATATTTTCACTACAGATAGCCAAATCTTTATTTTGTGCGTGAATGTGTGTAAATATGGAACCAGACAGACAGACAAACAGACAGAAAATAATATACCCCTCACTCTCTAACTTCAAGTACTTTTAGGTCTTTTATTGCATGAAGTTCTCATTAACCACATAGCCGTGTGTGAGGTTGTAGCTACCTATCCACGTATCATCACTGTCAGAGAATTGTAAAAACAGAACCATTTTGTTGTAAAGGCCAATGACATGAAAGGAGGGGGGGAGTTCGAGTTTCTCCAGTGGTCAAGGCTCGCCTATTTTCTTGGCCTTCTATATGTGTAAGCGCTCTGTTCTTCATCACCAGAGGGTACGATCAAGTGAACTAACTTATCTAAAGGGACAAAGAATATTTTTTTTCGTTTAAGTGTGTTCGACAAGTCTTCTTTGTGTTGTCTGTTTTACATGCCAAGCGTGCGAGTCCTTGTTTTGCTCAGGCAAACAAGTCAGCGATGCTAGACAGTACCCTATAAAATTCTATTTGTATAGGGTTATTAGTAGCTTGGAATCGAAGAGGCGAATTTCTTCTTCTTTAATGTCTCTCGTTAATTTCATTTCATTGCATTTAGTAAAAACCGTTGGTTCTTATTTGGGTGGTCTCCAATTTACTTCTCCTCTTCTATAGGTTGGATAAACTTGATCTCAGCAGAGATTTCTCTTTCATTCAGTATGAATATGCATTAGTCCTTTGATGGAAGATTTTTAGCTACTCTTCTTGTAGAAAATCTAATTGCATTACTTAATTAATCGTCATCGGGTCGAGCATCGATTTCGTGACGAGCAGATTGACAATCGGATCACCTGCTATAAATAAGCAAAGGTCTGATTTGGTTTTCCAGTTTCGTTCTAATTCTCTATTTCAATTGGCCATTGCCACTTAAGTGACGTCATTTGTGGGGGGGCGGGGGGGGAGGTTGATGTAATTTCTCTATCGCTATTTAATTCTGTCATGTCTGTGCCCTAGATATCGGATTTCTCTATCGTGAAATTAGCTAATCAGGATGGAGATTGGTGCTTTATTGGCAGTAAGATTAGATTTGCTGTTTTCACAAGTCCAGACAATCAAGTAGTAACTTTCTTCTCAGACTATGCGAATTTATCTACACACAAGCACACAACCTCGTATATTCCAGACGAGACAGACAGTCGTCAAACTAACGTTCGTGCTTCTCGGAGTCCAGTCAGGCACTTTACTACGTCTCTCCCCCCCCCCCCCCCACTTTTTTTCTGGCTCGGTCTCCCATACAACAATATGCAGACTTCACTTCATCCTAGCCACACGCCCCTCTTTGTTTCCCTCCCACTCCTCTAGTTGTTCCGTCTAGACCCCGACAACGACCGTAAAACACGAGTGGGTAATATCACCCAATGGGAGGGGAGTGGTGTGGTATGGACATTAGACTAAAGTGTGTTCCTCCCTCCATTTTTGCTAATGTGTCTACTTCTCTGGACGCACTGTTCAAATTATCAACATCATTATATCCATCTCTGTCTAGTCGTTTGGGGAATTTAGGCAGACATTGGCGCCACTAATTATGATGGTTACTGCCTGTCTGTGGAGTGACTTTCAGACTGGAGGAGGAATTTTGGTACGAATGAGAAATAAAGATTACTTATTTCCATTACGTAACTCCTAATTTTCCTTCTTATTTTGAGATGCTAACTAAGAAATCAAGTTTATCGTATCCTCCCCCCCCCCCTCTCCTCCTATGGAACGACGATGATGGTCGAAATCCAGACGTTTTACGGCCTACTTATTAGATTATTGCTCTCCCTGTCTCTTGATGATTGTAAGAAGAAGCTCTATGTCGGATATACTTAATTTCTAATATTGAGGAAAATCTGCTTACAATGATGTCCTGTCTAGAAGTTGAGAGCTTTTAATAGAGAATGGGGGCAGAAAGTCCCGTGGTTTGGAAGTTAGAGCGCACTTTGTGATGCTTCTTAAATATAACGAAAAGCTAGTTTCTCTTTCAGGTAATTGGTATTTTAGTTAAATCAATGCTGAATTTGTTGAAACTGTTATGCTCGGGCCACCCAACTATCATCACTCCCTGTGTTAACAGTATTATATCACTATTTCTGCAGTTAAGACCAAAATTTTCTCATACGGTGATTTTTCACGCCAGCTGAATCCAATTTTTGAGAGTCTATCGATTTTTCTTGCCTATTTTCTGTGTCTCGACTCTTGCTAAATTAATACATTGTTTTTTTTTCGAGATAGGCGCTAATTCACGTCGTTGTGTCTGCCTCTTCTCTCTCTCTCTCTCGGTAGTATATTTCATTTTCTTCCGCTCTGTTGTTTGGTGATTTACTTCTTCAATGGCTGGCTTTACGACAGAGAACAGCATTTCACATGCCTGTTTTTTTTCCAGGCGAAATTAGTTCAAACTTTTTCGCACACACTTCATGAAATCTTTATTTTGTTAATATTAATAAGGATTTAGGCAGAAGAAGAAGAGGAGGAATGTGTAGGTTTCAGATGAATGATCTCTGACACGTGGGTGTATTTCCTTAAAAATCTGCCTTGACAATTTGACACCGTTTATTTTACTAAGTAGTCTTTTTTATTAAATTTTCTTCATTTCGGGGACCGAATGCATATTTTATTTCAAACATTTAAACGTTAAAATACAGAGTTCGCTACTGAGCTTGCAAAATGAATGCAATTGTAATTTTTGGCTGTTGATATCATCGATAACTCCTAAGTGTATATAATACACATTTTGTCTTAAAAAACTGCTTTTTTTGTTCAATCAGAATTGTTAAATTGTTTCAAGGTCTAATTTTCAACGAAGATGTCTTTTTTCCTCTCCTTAAAATGTCTGGCTTTTGCTGCTTCTTCCATCTGAACGTACACACACACAATTTGGGGGGAGACTGTCTGTTTTTTTCTTATATATTTGTTTTTCCTTCTTCGTATTGGAGTAGACTCACATGCTTGTTTTCGTCCTGAAATTTTGTCTTTCTCCTAGCCTCTCTTTTCTATCCCATTCTGATTTTTACCTTAGCTTATTCAATGTGACAATATTTGCTGCTCGACTATTCGTTGTTCTTTTTCTTCCATTTTTGCGGAAAATAACGAGGTCTTGTATTACCCTCCCTCCCTCCTTTTGCCTATGTCACTCCAACTTCTGGCCGATGATATGTCTCTCTCTCTCTCTCCCTCTATCGATTTCGCTAAGGGGATTGAAATGTTGTCCATAAGATGGTTTCTAGTTGGAGACGAAATGGAGTTTATGACTAACACTTTCAGCGTTGTGTCTAGAGTTGTGTCATTGTGTCTGTATCCATTTTCTTGGCGCTTGGTATTCGTCAGTTCTCCCATTCCCCATTCATTTTAGCTCCCTTAACGCCGTAAAATTATATATATATATATATATATATATATATATTTTT